AAAAAAAAAAAAAAAACAAATCAGTGCCAGAAGTCCAGAAGCTTCCTTGCCAGTCACTACATACTCCCTTTCCCCAAGGGAAAGCATTCTCCTGACTTCCAGCTGCATAGATAGGCTCTGCCCTGTTTTGAACATTACACAGGTGGAAGGCCCATCCTTCCATTTGTGAGGCTCATCCATATTGTTGGAGACAATAATATTATTTCCTTGCTGGGTATTAGTCTTCATGACTGCCACAATTAATTTATCTGTTCTACAGTTCATGGGCATTTGGGTAGTTTCCACTTAAACTGGAATTTGAGGGAGTGGAGAAGCTACAGTTGACAGAGAGGACAGTATTCTGGGTGGGGAAATGTCCAGGGTAAGTGCCTGGGGGGGGTGTCATCTGAAAGGCTAAGTGTGAACCAACATCTGCTGAGAGATTGCTGTGTTAGACAATGTTCCAATCTCTGTTCTCACTCATTTCATCCTCACCTACAATGAGGTAGGTGCTTTTGTCTTCATTTTACTGACGAGAAAACAGAAGCCTAGAGAAGTTAAGTAACTGACCCAGCTTTACACAGCTGGTCAGAGGCAGAATCAAGGTATGAACCCTTGGCCATCTGATGCCAAGTGAAGGTGCTGAGGTTCAAAGAAGTAAAATAGGCCAGGTGCAGTGGCTCACACCTACAATCCTAGCATTCTGGGAGGCCAAGGCAGGTGGATTTCTTGAGCTCAGGAGTTCAACCCTGTCTCTACTAAAAATAGAAAAAAAGTAAACTATCCAGGCATTGTGGTGGACACCTATAGTCCCAGCTATTTGGGAGGCTGAGACAAGAGGATTTCTCAAGCCCAAGAGTTTAAAGTTGCTGTTAGCTATGATGATGCTATGGCACTCTACCCAGGGCAACAGAGTGAGACTCTGTCTCAAAAAAAAATTAAAAAAACAAAGAGGTGAAATAACTCACCTGTGGTCACACATCCCAGAGTTGAACTAAGCAATGTCTGAGTTCAAAGAGAAAAATGTAGCTCTTTCTGAGAGGCTCATACGTCCCCTTAGACATAAAAAGGGTGCCAACTGTGTATGCTCCCACCTCCCTTAACAGGCATGACACCCAGGAAATCCTCAACCCAAAGGAAGGCCAGGCAGAAACCTCAACTGGGCTCAAGGATTTCAAGTCACCCACGTGTAGGGGTCACCTCTCACTGAAAGGCAGGATATATGGGGCTGCCCTGAGGTTGGAGGCAGGCTTGGCCAGCTACCTTGGCCAGCTCTCATCCTTGGTCACACAAAGAACATGTCTTAGTTCTTTCCATCTCTCTGGGTTGAGTACAGCCAACTAGGCCCAAGCCCCAGTGCCATCTCCAGAGTCGTTTATGATTGTCTCTTCCCACTTTGGGCTAAAGCTGGGACAAGGGGCCTTCACACAAGGGCTTGGAGCCAAAGGCCCTTCCTCCCAGCCCCCAGACTGCAGATTAATGACAGGAAAAGGCTTTGGGAAAGAGCTGTGATTAGAGAGCAGCGGGAGGTGAGTTTACCCTTCCCCAACAAAGCCAACTTCCGGCCCCACGCCTGCCCTTCTTGCTTTCCAGCCTTGCCAGTCCCTAGGGTTTTGGGGGCGACTCTCAGCCTTCTGATCTGCAGAGCAGGCTGAGGGTTGCTGGAGAGAAGGCTGTAATAGCCCCCATCAGCCTATAAATAGCAGACCAGTGCCCACCCTCTCTCTGTTCCCTCTTTTCCATGCATTAGGAGGAGGAAGTTATCCAGGCAGCTGCATCCTAGCCATACAAGAGGAGGAAATAAATGGAAGGTGGAGGAGAGCAGGGGAAAGAATGGGAGAAAAAGAGGAAAGAATAGTGGGAAGGGAAAACCAAGGAAGGGAGATGGAGGAAAAGCATGGGAACTAGAGTGGTCACCCCACGGTCATGCTCCCCACCCCATACCCACCTGTGATCCCCTTTTCCAGCTCTCCAGCACAGCACAGAGGCTTCCTGACTGAGGCTGCGGACACCCCACCCATGAGGCCCTGACAGTGCTAGAGTCTGGTCGGCCTTACCGCTGACCTAGTTTCTGGTCACTACCTTGCTGTGACCTTTAAGAGTGTGTGACCTCTGACCCACAATTGCTGACTTGGCTTTTGCCAAGACCCACCAAGAGTGCTAAACGGCTCCACTACAGGCCCCAGGAGGTGGAGCCAATTATATGTGTGTTGGGGGGCAGGTGATATTGCCCCTGCTCTGGGAGTTTGTCACTGGACATACACACCCCCTTTAGTAGGAAAGAGGATATGAAACCTTCAGCTTTGTGTGAGTTTGGGGCTTCGGTTCCTCAAGACTTTATCTCTGGTGTATGTAGTCTATCCCACTCTTATCTGTCTGGCCATCTGTGAACCCTGGTTCCTGTGTGTATCTTCTGGTCTTGACTGTTTATCTTGATATGAACTCAGCCTCAACTTCTTGTGTCTACGGCCTTCCTCCCCTTACCTGCCTTGCCCTGGTTTCTGTCTGCTATCTTGGCATGTGCATATGTATGCAGTTAAGAAAGCTCATTTCCTGAAAATAGTCTCATTAACACAAACAAACGTCATGCCTAAAAGTCCAAACACCAGCAAATGTCACGGTTGCCAGTTCATCACATTAGTGACTAAGGTTAAAAACCAAGATGAAAAAAGAGAAACTGATGTCTTTCTTTTGCTAAATTAGTGCCAATTGTTTGTGTCCCAAATCCATGGGCCTCCTTCTGTGACTAAGCCTCTACAATGGTTTTCCAGAAAGTGTAATGCTAGGTCTTGCTAGCTTCTGGCCAGCTTTTCTTGGGACCCAAATTCATCTGGCCAGAGGGTCTAATGTTTCCCCCTATCCCTATGAACAACTGGAGACCTTGCTCAGAGCAGACATGAAGGTAGAGACACAGGGTTTGGGAGGGATTTTCTCTCAGTTATGTATCTGGTGATTCTCTCGTATATACATTTACTCTCAATCATTTAGTCTTTCACTCCAGGGTTCTGGAGACCAAACTTCAGATACTAGTGGAAATTCAGGCTAAGTCTGAATCCTGAGGCGTGAGGCTCCTGAAGTTAAGTGCTTGGTCTGTGGCCAGGGTTAGGGTGAAGAACAGGGTGAAGCCAGCAGCTCCAAGGACATCTAGGTACTTCACCCCATTATCTTGGGGCCCTCAGGATGGCTCCGCCCAGCCCTGACATGTGTGCATGCACATGTGTGTAGCGGGGGACAGGGAGGGGAGCCGATCAGTCCTCGGCAGCCATTTTAACCCACTGATGGCAACACCCGTGCTTCTTCCAGCTTTCCCTTCAGCGTTCCAGCAGCTTCAAGGATTTTGCCAAATCCAAACCCAGCTCTCCAGTGGTGAGCGAGAAGGAATTTAATCTGGATGATAACGTGAGTTTCAAAGTCTTCTGAGGGAACTTGATTGCAGGCCCTGGGCAGATGAGTAGCCTTGGGAGAGGGAAGGGGGAAGAGGAGATGTTAGGATTGTTGGGGCAAAGCGTCCTTTACCATGGAGGGCTCTCCTCTCCCCTCACCAAGCATTCATCTACATTCTTTTTGACTACAAAATAAATTGTAAATTATTTATAAAGTAATAGAGCTGAGGACAGTGTTGGGACCAAGGGAGGAGGAGATTAGGGCCTCTCAATTCCACCCCTTCCAACCTCTACTGTGACCCAGAGACCTGGTGCTCCAAGTCCTGGACCTAGGCAGGGTCACCAGGGTCTCTAAATATCCACTTTTGTCATCCCAGATTCCAGAAGATGACTCAGGTACCCCCACTCCAGAGGATACTGGGAAGAGTGGCAAGAAGCTGGGGAAGAAGTGGAGGGCAGTGATTTCCCGAACTATGAACAGGAAGATGGGCAAGATGATGGTGAAGGCCCTATCAGAGGAGATGGTGAGGCCTGGGGATCCAGGGAGGAGGGGCACCACTCTGTCAGGGTGGGAGCATGACTGCCTGGACAGCCACTGCTCAGGCCTGAAGGTCCTATTCAATGCAAGAAGAAAGGTCATGGGAGAGGAGGATCTCACCCTTGGCCAGGGACAGACACCCGGGCACAGTTCTGAGGGCACAGGAGGCTGGCTGGGAAAGGGGTGGGATTTGAGAAAAGTGGAAGTCTGAGTGAGAGAAGCTTCCTTGGAAGGCAGACCTGCAGGGAGGGGCAGCTGAAAGGGAGATGAGATGACCTGAAGCAATCCACCCACTTTAAAGCTTTGCTTGGAGCTAGCCTCTGGGATTAGAAAGGCCTGTTTTCCCTCATGGGATCCCCAAGAGAGAAAATCGAGAAGACTGGCCTAGGGAAGCAGGGTTGCACAAACATCTATGAGGCATGCACAGCCAAAGTGACTTGAATCACACAGAGTCTGGTGTGCTTATGGCTCTTACAGGAGGCAGGCAGGCAGCAGATTACTGGAGTTGGCTCCTATTGGCTCATACTGGCTCATATAAGCTCCTGAGAGCAGCTGGTCAAATTGTCAGAAATTTTGTGAGCCAGTTGTTAAACACAACCATTATTAAAAATCGAATTATTTAAACTTACAATCAAATAAATTATTTTAAAAACAAAGGTAAGCCAAGTGCAGTGGTCTGTAGTCCCAGCTACTTAAAGTGGGAGAATTGCTTGAGACTAGGGGCCCAAGGCCAGCCCGAGCAACAGAGCAAGGCCCTGTCTTGTAAGAAAAAAAGGTAATATAATAAATCTTATTCACACTTAATTCCTGAACGACATTTTACACTTATCTGTGTTGTTGAAATTATTTGGGCCTATATTATCTGAATGGTGGAAATAGCATAGCTGTCTCCTTTGACAATGCACCCAGCCACGTCACAATGGTAGCTGGACATTGGCCCTGGTGGGGTGTCCTGAGAACACAGGAATTTGCCATTAATCAGGGACAGCTGTTAAACAGTTACCACTGCACCGAGGTATGGTGAGATGGTAAGAGCTCTGGAGTCTGGCCAACTTGGTTGTGGGTTCCCATAGGCCTTGGGAATGTTCCTCTGCATCTGTAAACTCAGGCCAACCATACCACTACCTGTGTCACTGGGAGGATTAAATGAGATGGCAGGCAAGCTTGGCACATACTAGGTCACTACAAAAGTTTTAAGACAGATCATGTTACGTTCCATTATTTCACTTCCAAGAAACACTCTCAACAGTGTCCTTTCTGATTCAACTTGCTAGGCTTATTGGTGTTGCTGGGAGGGCTTCATGCAGATTTTACATTTCTTGATTTTTGTGTATCTCAAAACTTTCATAATGATCCATGTAGAAGCACAGGCAAAAGTAATTTCTTCCTCAGTGCCACTGCTTAATTTTTTTTTTGAGTCAGAGTCTCACTTTGTCACCTTTGGTAGAGTGCCGTGGCATCATAGCTCATAGCAACCTCAAACTCTTGGGTTCAAGCGATTCTCTTGTCTCAGACTCCCAAGTAGCTGGGACTACAGGCACCTATCACCACACCTAGTTATTTTTAGAGATGGAGTCTCACTCTTGCTCAGGTTGGTCTTGAACCCGTGAGCTCAGACAATTCACCCTCCTCGGTCTCCCAGAGTGCTAGGATTACAGGCGTGAGCCACTGCACCCAGCCTTGCCACGGCCTTCTTGACTGCAACAATGGCTGAGTCTGGGCTCTGCTACCACAGCCTTTTCTGCATGTACATCAACACTCGAAGCTGACAAAAGCACATTCACATGGCACCCCATGTGAGCCTCATTCTGTGAGGTAGGCAGAGCAAGGATGGTCATTCTGATTTTTACAAAAGAGGAAACTAGGGCTCAGAGAATGTCTGTTATTCAGCCTGTAAGTGGCAGAGCTGGGGTTTGAGCCAGGCCTTGGCTCTTCACCAAGCCCAGGCCCATTTCCTCTGCACCATGTGTACCCCAGTGAGGCTGCTCAGGGCTTCCTGCCTACCCTCCCCGCAGGGAGACACTCTGGAGGAGGGCTCAGCCTCCCCAACATCTCCAGACTGCAGTCTGGACAGCCCTGGCCCTGAGAAGATGGCGCTGGCCTTTTCGGAGCAGGAGGAGCATGAACTTCCTGCACTTAGCCGCCAGGCATCGACGGGTGAGTAAAGGATGTGGGGGGACATCTGCTGAATCTAGAGGAAAAGACTGGGTCGGGGCTGTGCCAGTGGGCTGTCTGGGAGGTGGGTAAGAGAAATGAATGTTTACTGTTTTCCTGCTGGGAACTTTCCCGGCCTTCTTCATGTTAAATCCTCACAATCACCTCATGGGGCCAGTACTATTATCCTCATTTTACTGAGGTGGAAACTGAGTCTCAAGGAGGTTAAGCGACTTGCCCAAGGTGGCCCAGTATTCAACTCAGATCTACCTGGAGGAGCTTCCACTTGCTGTCCCCAGGACCTGGAGAGGCTCAAGAGCAGAGCAAGAGCCTCATTGTCCTCTTGGACCAGCTCTTCCAAGGGGAGCTAGAGGCTACAGCTCCTTGGGCCTCTGACATCCCAGGCTGGGGAGGGAGTATAGACTCTCCAGCTGTGAAAAGTCAGACTCTTGGGCCCCAGACCTTGGTTTTCTGGGCTTAAGGTGTCACATGGCATCTTTAGAAGTCCATGGGGTTTCCTGCCTGGAGAAGGGGCTGTGGCCTCTGGGCTGCAGCCCCACTCAGCACTATCTTTATCACCCCTCAGGCCCATTTTGAGTTTTCCACTCTTTCTCTAGCTCCACAGACACCTCCCTTCCCTCCCACACCACCATAGAAAGCCATTTAAAATGCCCATCCTTCCCTTCTCAGGGAGAAAGAACCCATCTGAGTTTCCGTGTGATATTATAACTAAACATTGAGTCTTATTAAGCAAAGACAATAAATATTAGTGCAGGCAGGCTGTGCCTTCCTGGGTGAAAGGAGTACTGGAGTAGGAGCCAGGAGACCTAGAGTTTAATGGCCCAGGTGCTGCCAATTATAAAGTCAGGGGCCTTGGGAGGTCTCTTGGCCTGCATGGCCTCAAATTTCCTCATTGTTCATTGGAGTGTTGGCCCAGCTAGAGGCCCTCCCAGTTTGCCCATTCTTTCGTCTCTGAGTGGTTTCTCCTTCTGTTGCCAACTCTTTTCATGTCTGAGGTCCGGGTCCTGCAGTGTGGCCGAGGCGATGGGTCGGAAGTGTGAGGCTTGCCAGAGCCCAGCTTTCTTCCCTGTTGCACACAGGGAAGAAATTCTAGACATGCCCTTTGGAAGGCAGCTGCTAGGCACTGTCTCAGCTGTCCTAGGACAATGGTGAACCTCTTCCCTGCCCATCTCCTGCAGGCAGTGAACTCTGCAGCTTCGGGGAGGAACCCCAGTACACAGGGCCGTTCTGTGGCCGGGCACGAGTCCACACCGACTTCACTCCCAGCCCCTATGACCATGACTCGCTGAAACTGCAGGTAAGGACAGCATCCAGGCCTGGAAAGCTATACCCATAAAGGAGGCTGGACTGAGCCAGAATAGAAAAATATCAGTGGAGGCCAAGAGTCCATCCCTCATCTCTTCCTTGCTCTCTTCTCCTCTCCCAACACAGAAAGGAGATGTGATCCAGATCATTGAAAAGCCACCCGTGGGTACATGGCTGGGCCTGCTCAATGGCAAACTGGGCTCTTTCAAATTTATCTATGTGGATGTGCTGCCTGAGGAGGCCACAGGGCCTGCCCGCCCCAGCCGCCGACAGAGCAAGGGCAAGAGGCCCAAGCCCAAGACTCTGCATGAGCTGCTGGAGCGCATCGGCCTGGAGGTTTGATCTAGGACCAGCTCTAGTATCTAGTCTCAAGAGAAGGCACACTTGCCTCAGGGATGGGGACATGGGGAAATAGCTATGTGTAGGGGGTAAGGGCCTAGGGGTAAAGGGGTGGCTTATAAGTAGCTGTGCCAGTGGCTTGCCTCTCTGCCAACAGGAGCACACATCTACCCTGCTGCTCAATGGCTACCAGACGCTGGAGGATTTCAAAGAGCTGAGAGAAACACACCTCAATGAGCTGAATATCATGGACCCGCAGCACCGGGCCAAGCTGCTCACGGCTGCTGAGCTGCTGCTGGACTATGACAGTGAGTGGCTTTAGGTGCAGAGTGGTAGTGGTAGGGTGTGCCCGCTGGCATCCCACAGTGGAGAGGCTTGCCCTGGCCCTGTCCCCGACCACACTCTGCACTAGGGCCCCTTGGCAGTAGGAAGGCACTATCCACTTGAATTGGAATCTCAGGGAAAGTTTGTGGGAGAAAGCAGGTGTTGGTCGAGCCCAACCCCTCTTCGGATCAAAGATCATACTTAAGGCCAAAGAAGGTAATGTATTGACTTACTCGAGGCCTCAAAGTGAGATAGTAACAGAGCTGGGATCCAAGGCCAGGTTGCCTGGCTTCAGCTTAGTACTGAAGAAGTTTGAGTTCATGGGCCATGAAACTGGCCTAGAAACAACTCCGACCTGCTTCCAAGCTAGAAGTGGGGTGAGTGGCAGGGTGATAGCAAGTGCTCAGAGGGAGAGACCGCCTATAGCAGAGTTCCCAAGATCCCTACCCTCTCAAGGCTTCTGATGCCCCTAGCTAAGGACCAAACCCCCATGTTCTGTCTCCTTCCCTCCCCCCTGGCAGCCGGCAGTGAGGAAGCAGAAGAGGGTGCTGAAAGCAGCCAGGAGCCAGTGGCACACACAGTGTCAGAGCCCAAGGTAGACATCCCGCGCGACTCTGGCTGCTTCGAGGGCTCAGAGAGCGGACGCGATGAGGCAGAGCTGGCAAGCACCGAGGAGCAGCTGCATGGCCTCTCCCTAGCTGGGGCACCTTGAGGTAGAGGTGGCCCAGGCTAAGGCTGGGTCCAAACTGCAAAGGCCACAGGGACAAGCCCAGCCTCCTACAGTGGCCTGGGCCCAGGAGACTGGCACCGAGCCTGGCCGTTTCCCCAGGGACGCTTAGGGCCACAGAGGCTTGAATGGGGCCCAACAAGCTCGGCTGGAGTGAATGAGGAGCTGCCCAAGGAAGGGCACGTCCCACCTGCCTGAACCCCTCCCTCCACCAGCGACTGACGGCACAGCCTCTTCTTACAAGCCAAAAAAAGCACTACGCTTGACATTGGGGAGTCCACTACCCTGACTTTGCTTTGCTAAAGTTTTGGTGTATGCTGAGCTCCAGAAGGAGAGTATCTGTTGGTGGGGGCGTCCCTTGACCCCAGTACCAAGTCTGTGCCCTGATTCCCTAGAATAGCCCTTCCCTGGTGCCAAACTGGCCTGGGGACAAACAGTGCCCACTACGTGCAAGACTGCCTGCTTAGTGGACACAGTTCTTAACCTCCCACTAGGAACTTTGCTATAAGTTAGCTTTGGGGAAGGGGTTGGGTGTAAATATGAGGGGTGGAGGGAGATAAGTGGTAACAATAAACATGGGTAGAATTGAATTACTGTCTCCAGTCATCTTTCCTGTGGAGAGGGTTGTGAGGAGAGACAGATGGATTGCCTTCAAAGCTGGCCTCAGCAAAATGTCCCTCTGTTGTCCTTTCAGGGCCATCTTTCCCTTCCCTGACATGTTCAGTGCCCTTAACTCTGCTGACATGAAGTTCCAGACCAAAGCCCAGGCTGCCTCTGGCTTGGAACAGGGCCCAGTCAGGCTCCTGTGGCCACAAGCCTTGCTGGGGTCTGGGGAAGGGGAGGTAGGGAGAGCTATTTCCCCCTTCCTATAACTGTTCATTTTAACAGGAAGCTTGAAGGCCTTCACTCCCATGAAGAAGGGCTCCCACTGAGAGGCTTTCTAGAGTCCAAGAGTGGGAGATTTAAGGTCAGCATTGCCTTTTCTCTGAGGCCACCTCTTTCCGGGCTCAACCTTGAGCCCACTAAAGCTGCACCATTTCTTAGGAAATGGGATGGAAATGAAGACCCTTGCTTTTTTCTCTGCTTCTGCCAGCATGAACTGCATTTGAGAGGGAAAACTGGAAGGAGAGCTGCCAGCAAAGTGAGGACAGGCTGTTGGGTTTCTAGGCATTGTTCTCAGCGGCACTCATTCCACCGCCCTTAGTGACTAGGGGCCTCAGGAAACCAAGCATTATCCTCACCAAAGAAACAAGAGACCTAACAGCCTCCAAGCCCTGAGGGTACCTGCATTTGTGCCAGACAATGAGAGCTTTTGCATATATTACCTCACATAACCCCCCCCCCAGGTAGGTACCCTCATCCTCCCAATTTACAGAGGGATAAACTGAGGCTCAGAGAGGTTAAAGAAATTGACCAGAAAGTGGCAGCACAAGAAGTCTGCCTGACTTCAGAGCCCACGTTCTTAACTCCCATACCACACTGCTTCCCAAAAGGCTTTGTCCAATAAGCTTTCAGAGGCCTTGGACACTTCAGAGGGCAATATGACCCTCTGATCAGTCCATTTCCCTTCTGTAATTTGATCTACAGAAAGAGCCACACAAGTGCACAAAGATCTATGGACAAAAATATTCATGATAGCTCTGTCTGTAACAGTAAAAAAATGGGAACACCACAGATGGGGAATTAGTTAGATACATTATGGTTGGTTCATACAACACCACGTAACCATTAAACATGATGTAGAAAAGTATTAAATGACATGGGGAAAATCTTTGTTTTTTTTTATTCTTTTATTTTAAATTGTAAAATTAGACAAATAATTTACATCTTGGTTGTAAAAGAAGGTCATACTATCACAAAGGGAAAAGCAAATACTAAAACATTATTTATAGGGTGAATCTGTTTTTATTTAAGAAAAAATAAAACACCCACAGAATAAAGACTGGAAAAATCTGTACCAAGTGGCTACCAGTGGTGATCTTGGGAGAGGTCTGGGGTAAGACTAGGTAGAGCCGGAAAACGGTGTTCACCTCCTACATTCTTGTTTTCTTTGAATTTCAAAAGTTATCTATTAACTTTTATGTCTAAAAAAAGGGGAATATAATTTTTGAAAAAAAAAACTAAATTAACAAATAAATAGAGCCCCAGCCTCTGACCTCCAACATGGGGTAGCAGCAGCAAAGTCACTATCTTGCTGCCTTTTGGCACAGGTTTCTAGAAAGATGAGGGGTGAATAATGCCCAAAGTGCTTAATCCATACATACCAGGAGATCCTTAAACCTTTAAACCCCCTGGGCAAAGGCTACCTATTAGCTCTAAACTGAGGAAAAGAAAATACCATACAAAGGTGAACGCCCAAGAGCGCGATGTTTTGAAATCCTCCCTTGCCTTGAAGAGGAATATGAACGATGAAAGTATGTTTGGACCTCTCAGGCTCCAGTTTGACCTCCAGGGTGATTACAGGCTGAAAGTAGGCAGCTATGCAAGGGCTCCAATGGTCACAGGAGTCTGGGACAGGCAGGAGAGGAGACACATCCAGGAAATATAGAACAGGCTAGGATCTGAGGGGCGACAGTGCATTAGGCAACTCTTTTGGACTTCCAGGGTCCACTGGAAGGAAACAGATAAAGACCAGATTCAAGAAGAAAGACTTAAAGTCTAGCCAGCCCCTCAGCAGTTCAGAGTCAGAGCTACCTTCTACCTCCTTCCCATCCAGGGAAGCAGCTCAAGGTACTGGCAAATCCCAGCAAAACTATCTCTCCTCTCACTCACTGGCTCTACATGTCACAACCTTACCTTAGACTACCCCAGGTAGGTTCTAATCAGCTTCTCCAAAGGCTCCCACAAATTTCCTCTCCTACTCTGCCAAATTCTATGGCTCCATGATCTGATACATGGCACAGAGGCCTCAGGCCCTTAGAGTTGGCTTCCAACTTCTCACTCATAGAGCTCCCTGCCCAGGCTCTTCACAGAAGCTGTGGCTACAACTGGACCATTTGAAACTCAGGGCATTAAAACAAAGGCTAAATAAGGTTTTTCTGAGGGGAAAAAAGGGCACTGATCACCATAGTCTCAACATGGCCCAATACCTTCCCCCCACCCGAGTCAGGAAATTCAGGATGAGGTATGAAGTTTCCCAGCTAGGGAAAAGAAGTGGCTCTCCCACCTCTCCTTCACAATAGAGGCTACCTTAGCTTCTCACACAACGGGGGCCACATTACATATTATTCAGCCAACAACACAATCAAGTGGGAAGGAACTGCCTTCCCTCTAGACCCAGCCAAGACTCCTCCTCCAGGAAGGACCTAAATAAATGGAATTCTATAGCACTTGATATGTAAGCTTCACCTTTTCCTATAACTTCACAGTGACCAATATAGCATTTGTATACCATTGCCTCTGGGACCTGCCAGGGATAGCATCAGAAAGAGACCAGGGCAATGGTCCTCACAAAGGGACAGCCAACTTGACTGTGGGAACTTGCCAAGGCAACTTCCTGACTTTCTGTGCTAAGAAACCCCACCATCAGTTCAACCTAAGTGCAGGGGTCTGGAGAAAGATTTAAGAGAGTTAAGTTTAAAACAAAAACCCAACAACCACCTCAGACCAGTGCTACTGTATGCCTAAAATAGAAAGCTCATCAGTAATATTAATCCAAAATGGCAAACAATCCTAAAAGCATTGCTGTTTCTCAACTTATAAGAGAATGGGGTTGGTAACGCAATTTATCTAAAGTTAGCCCTAGCACACACTATTCAAATATTTATTCAATATTAAATAAATGAAATGTTCATTTTATTCAAGTGACACCTGCAGTTATTCAAAATCTTATCTGTGTACACCTGTTTGACAGAGTAGCAGCGGGTTAAGCTAGAAAGTTCTCTGGACTAAGAGTCAGTACATCTGGGTTCTGGTCTTGGCTCCATCAGTAACTCTCCATGTGACCTTGGGTAAGTCACAGTGAAAGGGAAAGAGGGAGCTAGAGAGGAAGGGATGGAGGGAGGCAGGAGGAGAGAGAGAGAAAATGGACTACATGATCAACATGTTCCTTTCAGCTATGTTGTTACACAGAGCCTAGATTTTATGACAAATAATCATCATGTCTCTTATTTGGGCACAAAACTCCAACCCTTTTAGCAAAGTTGGAACAGCCAAATAGCTGGAGATGGACAGTGGCTAGCAGAAAAGGCCATGAGAAGGGGGAGTGAAGAAAGTGAAGGGGCAGGGAATCTCAGAAAGGTGATTCTACTCCATGCTCTAGAGTTGTAAAGCTACTTCTAAATCAAAGGCCCCCTCATTTCCTGGCCCATGGCAAAGTGTGAGCTCTAAGCTCTAATTTATTAATCAATGAGAATACATCCTAATGCCAGAAGAAAAACAAAGGCCTTGGACGGACAATTCACAGAAGAAATACAAATGTCAATAAACGTAAGGCAGAGGAGAGGTGCAGAAACTGTTTAACCTCACTATCAACCAAAGAAATAAAAACTAAATAACACTAACCCACAAGTTCATAACTATCAAATTACCAAATGTTTAAATGAGATGGGTTGAAGCAGGCTCTCTGTTACATTGCTGGCAAAACAAACTGGGACAGCCTATCTGTAAAGCAATTGGGCCATATTTACCAAGAGCCTTTAAAAGAGCATTCCCTTTGACTCAATAATTCCACTTCTAGGAATCTACCCTAAGGAAATAATCACAGATATGTCCATATATAAGTAAGTTCACTGTAGCATTATTTCCAATAAGGAAAAATTAGAAACTCCTAAATGTCTGAGATTAGGGGAAGGTTATGTGCATGTTTTTTGTTATTATTGTTTTGGGGGGAGGGTTTGAGACAGAGTCTCACTCTGTCACCTGGGTAGAGTGCCACGGCATCACACCTCACAGCAACTTCAAACTCTTGGGCTCAAATGGTCTTCTTGTGTCAGCCTCCCAAGTAGCTGGGACTACAGGTACCTGACATAACGTCCATCTAGTTTTTCTATTTTTAGTAGAGATTGGGTCTCATTCTTGCTGAGGCTGGTCTCAAAATCCTGAGCTCAGGCAATCCACCGACTGTGGCCTCCCAGAGTGCTAGGATTACAGGTATGAGCCACTGCACCCCATGTACATGTTATGGAATTATTCAGAAGTATTTTCAAATAATTTCTAATGATATGGAAAATGCTAGGTTAAAAAGGCAGGTAGGTTTACAAAAGCATATTTATAGTTGAATTCCAGTTATATTTAGAAATAAGATGCACAGTAAAAAAAAACTAGAGTGAAATACACCAAAACTATCAGATCTTGGCTATGAATTCGTGGGTGATTTTTAAAAATCTTCTTACTTTCCTATACTTTCCCAATTTTCAATAATGAGCAAATGCTACTTTTAAAATTGTAAAAAGCAGATGAAAGGTGTGAGAGGAGGGAGATGTTTGTTTTTCTCTCTAAGCTTTCCAAATATTTACAGTTAGAAAGGGACCTTTGAGATAATCTAGTCCAGTGGTTTTTAACCTTAGTAGCTCCAACCCTTCCTTGCATATATACCCTTTGCCACCCTGAAATGGACCTCATAGTTAATAGAACCCACTTAAACATAATT